GCCTTCCATTGTCGTGCCATCCCAGCTCATCAAAGCTGAGAGTTTTAACAACTGGACTGCTACCTCATGCTGGAGGCTGTCCATGCTCCACGTACCACCAGTGATGGGGTCCTCATTGCCAGCTGGCAGCCAGGGCTCCTCCTCAGAAACTCCAGCTTGCTTTCTTGAACCACCCCCAGTACCAATTATCCTAGGTTGTATTCTCTGAAAGCAGATGGGATTTTTATGGGTACCAACACCAGTGAGAGGAAGGGAGAGGCAGCAGGTTTGGGCAAAGAAAGCAGTAAAGCTTGAGTGCAGGCTTGATAAAGTCTTTGCCCAGCCCGGGGAGCTCTGGAGCATGCATGGCCCAAAAAAATTGTCCCCTGTTGGACAGAAATAGCCAGGCCTATCTGTGATGAGTCACGGGATGCAGGCTTCCCTGGGAAGGTCATGCTCATGGCTGAGCAGCTCTCGGAGCTGAAAGATCTGACAGCTGAAGCCTTCAGCCCACGGCACCCCCAGCAACTGGGAAAACCAGTCTTTTTTTGAGTGGGAATCTGGGTGGGTCATCATCATGTTCACCACACTGCTGAAATGTAATTCCTCGTTTTGCACCACAATGTCCATGTGTTACTTTTCTAACTAAATTAATAAAGAAAGAAAATAAGACAGAATTTATTATTTTATTTTGGGGTGGAATTCAAATCAGATCACCCCCCACCTCCACATCTTTTTTTTGAGACAGAGTCTTGCTCTGTCACCCAGACTGGTGTATAGTGGTGCAATCTTAGCTCACTGCAGCCTCCTCCTGGGCTCAGGCAACCCTCCCACCTTAGCCTCCCAAGTAGCCAAGTAGCTATGACTACAGGTGTGCACCACTAGACCCGACTAATTTTTTTTTTTTTTTTTTTTTGTAGAGGCAAGGTTTCACCATGTTTCCTAGGCTGGTCTCAAAGTTTTGAGTTCAAGAGATCTGCCCATCTCAGCCTCCTTTCAAAGTGCTGGGATTGTAGGTGTGAGCCACTGTGCCCGGCCCAGATCACCCTTTCTTAGTTTGATTATTTGCTTTGTGAGAATACTGATTTGGTGGTAATTTCTAGCGTGTGTGGGAGCACATGTGACCAGGATTCCAAGCATCAGGTTACAAAGGGTAAATTCAGTCAAACCAGTTGATGAGTAGATCATTCTAACATCTCTGCAGAAACCACTGCTGTCTTTCAGCCTCTCTTGGGTTGATTAAATCAAGTGCATCTCATGTCATGCAGGAAGGATTCAGATCTAATAGCCAATCTATGGTCTGGCCCCTGGTAGGTAGTGACATCTTATGTCCTTAGGGAAGACAGTGAGTGACAGCAGCTTGGTACCCCATCCCAGAGTAGTACTCACTTGCCCATGTTGTGATTATTTTTGGAGTTATCTTTTTTGGCTGGCTTAGATTCATGGAGCCATTGGAGCCAATCCCTTTACACAAACACTGGTTTATTAACCTGGGGCAATCAAAGGGAAGGGGTGTCAATCTTCCTTCTCCCTGTTATCACGTTGAAACTTCTTTTTCTGTGAAAGTGCTTATGGAAGGAAATTAGCAGAAGGCGTTTGCTTTTGAAGATACAAAGACCAGCCTGGGGCCTCACCCCTGCCTCTGCCTAATGACATCTCTTTTCCAGTAAGAGAAAAGTCACCTCCTGAAAAGAGGCTTTGCAGTGTAACTCGGGAATTTAGTTTTTTTCTAGTAAGTATTAGAAAACAAATCCAGAGAAAAGAACAACTTGAACAATTGTGGAATGTCCGTCTGGGGGAGGAAACAGAGCACAGGACTTGGTGACAGTCAGCCTCAGGGTAAATGGGTTTCAATGCCCTACTAGTCTGAAACCTTGGTCAAGTCATAGAAACTCTCTGAGACTGAGTTTCTTTCTGTAAACAGCCAAGACCCTGGCAGTGGTGCAGTCCTCTGTCCCCTTTCATAGTAAATGTCCTTGAATGGGATGCCAGTTCTCTGTCTCTACTTCCTCATCCTTTATGCTCATTCTCCCTCAACTGCTTCCAGACAGTTTCGTCCCCACCACGCCTCTGAAAGTGGCTTCCTTTGTTTTACCAGTAGCCTTTGTCTTGCCAGCCAAAGAGTCCATTGTCTATCTCTGAGTCTCCTCATACCTTCTGTAGCTGCATGCTCTCTCTGACAATGCTATCTTGGGAATTCAAAGCTTTCAATGCCATCTGTATGATGAAGACTTCCACATTGAGACCTTCCTGTCCAACCTCATGCCTGAGTCTCAGTCTCAGGTGCGCAACTGCCTGCCTCACACTTCCATGAAAATGTGTCATCCTCACCTCAAACATAACTCTCGTTTTTGTTTTTTTTTTTCTGTCTCTGCTGGATGGTCTGCTGGCAACTCAACACCATTCTTCCCTTTGTGCTCTGCCCCCGATCACAGGGGCTGGGCATTTGTCAATTATATTCCCCAGAACCCCTGCCTATGGGTTTCCAGTTTAGATCCCACCAGTAAGCAGCATCTGTGTGAGATTTGGAGGGAGGAAAATAAGCAGAAGCCAAATAATTGTTCCTCCTGGACCTTAGGCAATGAGGGGGTGGCCTCCAGCCTTTTTCTATGAATCATCTACCTCCGAAGCTGAAATTATTGCAAGAAGTTTTCTGAATTTCCTGCAACTTCCTACCTTTTTGAAAGCTGGAGGTGAACCAAGCTAGCAGAGGCACCCTCCCATGACCTGTGTTTTCCCCCTACCACTCCTTTTATGGGTTTTAAAGCACTTATTACCTTAAATGCTTTCCTGCCTAAAATACCTAAAATTGCTTCACTTCTGATATATCGTCTAAATCACCGCTCTTCAAATATTACCATGAATCGGAAATGGAAGAAATGGGAGGCATGCTAAAGCAGGTTGCTGGGTCCGCTCAAGTTTCTGACTCAGTAGTTCTGGGGCGGGGCTGGGTAATTCTTATCCTGCTGCCCTGGGGGCCACACTTGGGGAACCACTAGTCTAAACCTCAGTTAATGGTGCCACTATTTATGCAGTTTCTTAGGTCAAAACACCCAAGAGTCATCCTTGATTCTCTCTTTCATTCATGGTCATGACCAGGATCTTGGATATCTAGATGAAGAAATGGGATTTTAGACAGTTTCTATGACTTGCACAAGGTCTCATACTGGTAGGTGGCATTTAAACCCATTTAGCTCTGAGACTGACTGTTATAAAATCCTGTCCTTTCTTTCCTCTCCCCTGATAGATTCTTTACCATTTTTCAATTGGGAAAATGAGTTGTATGTGCATGTTTTCCTCAATGAAGGCTGAAAAGAAGTCTCCAGTTGACAGAAGTTAAGAGTTTAAGAAATGAAGGACTAGTATGGCAAGGTCATCCAGGAGAGGAGGGCATTTGACTTGAGAAGAGTGATGCAATTGCTGAGCAGGGTGGGGTGCTTGTGTGAGTTGTGAGGTTACAATGTCAAGTGACTCTAGTGTGCACAGGTGTGGGATTTTTCTTTAGTAACATTGACATGGGCTATGGTAGCTTTGGGATAAAGTCCTAGGAGGGGAATTGCTAAATCAGGGATCATGTCCATTTTATGTTTTGGTGTGGCAGTTGCCAAAGAGCTATGCCAGTATACTCTTCTGTCAAAATGTTTGTCCTCACTTGCTAATACCATGTAGTATCAAACTTGTGGATCTGCCATCTGCTAGGTAGAAATTATTTCGTTATGCATGAGAGTGCACATCTTTTCCTGTGCTGCTTCTGTGAACTGCCTATTCATGATGGGACTACTTAGGAATCTCAGAATAGTCAGGTTAAAGGGAAATGCATTTTGTCCAAACCACTGAGCAAAAATACAGATATTAAGAAGGTCATAATACCCTGGGGCCAGAACTCAATCACTGGGATCAGGTGTGACTTTTTGGAAAGTGAGGCTTCCTCTGTCCTTGCTAAAAAATTTTGATTGAGGCCATCACTGTCCTTAGAAACATGCCTTTTCCACACAGGTGGTAGGTGCCATCCACCCGGAGACCTATACCCAGATTCCCAATTTCCACCACTGTAATCCCATGGCTAATCACAAGTGAAATTGTGCTTATGGCATAGTCCTAGGGAAACACTGAAAAGGAAGGAAAAGCAATGAATAAAAATGAAATGATAAGGCCGGGCGCGGTGGCTCAAGCCTGTAATCCCAGCACTTTGGGAGGCCGAGACGGGCGGATCCACGAGTCACGGGGGATCGGACCCATCCCTGGCTAACACAATGAAACCAGTCTCTACTAAAAAATACAAAAAAAAAAAAAAAAACTCAGCCGGCCGCGACGGTGGCGGGCCTGCCTTGTATCCCAGCTACTCGGGAGGCTGAGGCAGGAGAATGGCGGGAACCGGGAGGCGGAGCTTGCAGTGAGCTGAGATCCCGCCACTGCACTCCAGCTGGGGTGACAGAGCGAGACTCGGACCTCAAAAAAAAAAAAAAAAAAAAAAGAAATGATAAAATAAATCCTTTTGCTTATAGGTTTAGTGGGAACTATGCATCAGAATTAGGCATTTGGCAGCATAGAAATGATACTAATGAATGCAAAAACTATGAATCATGTACTTTTAACCTACTGTACAACTCCTCAAGAGAAAATAAGACTGCTAAGTCTATTAAATTTGTCTAAGCTGAGATCCATGGTGCATGCAGGTACACACACTCACACATGCATCACACACGCCCCCCCCAACACACACACTGTACTCTTCCAAATGTTTAACCTCAGGTGTGAAAGAAATCTTTCGGAATTTTTTAGGGTGGGGTTATATATAGGTTCTGTTGAAAGGGGACTTAGGAATTACTCTAAGTTCTTACTTGGAGAGGTGCACATGGTGCTGATGAAGAGAGAATACAGGGCATTGGGATAAGTTGCCAGTGCAGGTGCAAAGGGAATTGTTCTGAGGGTATGGATGTGGCTAGAGGAACCCAGGCCTCCCTGAAATATGGCAATGTCTTCGTGTGTGACTGGATGTATGTTTTATGTTTAGGACTCCTGGGAGCGAGAATTGGAGCACCACCCAGCACGTGCAGTGGAGTCCCACGAGGTGGGTGGTTTTTAAATTAAGGTGCTCTCTAAAGTCCTGGCTCCTGGAGTGTGATTCCAGAGGTAAGTAAGATCCAAATGGAAGGGCTACCTTTGCAGAGCAGTTCTGCTCTTACTTCCTATTTAGATTGTGCTTCTGTCTAGGAAGAAAAGTGTTCTGCTGCCAAAAGCATATTTGGGACAGTTCTAAATCACCTCCTATGTGTACTACTACTGTATTAGTCTACTCTCACACTGCTATAATGAACTGCCAGAGACTGGGTAATTTATAGAGAAAAGAGGTTTAATTGACTTACGGTTCTGCATGGCTAGGGAAGTCTCAGGAAACTTAGAATCATGGGAAAAGGGTACATAGGCACGTCTTACATGGCAGAAAGTGATACAGAGCACGTGAAGGAGGAACTGTCAAACACTTATGAAACCATCGGATCGCAGGAGAACTCACTCACTATCACAAGAACAGTATGGGGAAAACTGCCCCCATGATTCAATCACCTCCCACCAGGTCCCTCCCTTGACATGTGGGTATTATGAGGATTACAATTTGAGATGAGATTTGAGTGGGGACACAGAGTCAAACCACATCAACTATGTTGGTTTTCATGTACTTTCACTCATTTAACTTTGACAGTTAACTAATAAGTCTCCCAGTTTTAGACACAATGGAGTCTCAGAAAGCTTATGTGGCCTCCCCAAAGCCCCAGCTAATCAGTGGCAAGGCTGGATGCTGTGGACTGGACGTTTGTGTCCCCTGCATATTCCTGTGTTGAAGCCCCAATCCTCAATGTGATTATATTAGGAGATGGGCCCTTTGGGTGGTGATTGGGTTTAGATGAGGTCAATAAAGTAGAGCCCTTGTGCCTTTATAAGAAGAGACATCAGAGAGTTTGGTTCTTTCTACCTTGAAGAAGGTGGCAATCTGCAAGCCAGAAAGAGAGCCCTCACCAGGATCTGAATGTACTGGCACCCCGATCACTAACTTCCAGCCCCCAGAACTGTGCAAAATAGATTCCTGTTATTTAAGCTACCTGCTCTATGAATACCATACAACATTGTATGGCAGGCTGAGCTGATGAAGACACTGGGTTTCAACCCATGTCAATCTGAATGCAGCACCCACATTAATTCCAGTGAACCATGACACCTCTCCAGGATGGCCTATGATTCCATTATGCGGTTCTATTAAAATATCACACAATAATGGTAGCACAACTTATACTGAAGCACATGTAAATTTCCCTGCAAACTCTACATCGCCTTTTGGGATTGTTTTTGGTGTTTAAACTTGTCATAGGATGCTGCTCAAAAGGAAAGGTTTAATTCCTTCCTTTGGATTAAAAAGAGGATGGAGCTCCTTCTCAATAAATCCATCACTCCCAAAAGTCCACTATCACACCACGATCCTGGGTCCTATACAACTCTATTTCAAAGAAATGATTTAAAAGTCCTAAACAGTAGGAATTTCCTCTTACAGAGAAGTTGTTCTTTCACTATTCACCAACTTCTGCTTTTGAAAAATAGACTTGGTTAAAAGTGCACACAAGGCTTGTTCTGGGTTGATCATACACTTGTCAAAACATCTAAAGGCTAAGCCATATTAAGAGCTTCTCAGGGAACACACTAGATCCAAAACAGCTATAAAAAAGAAAATTGCTTCTTACTTTTTCCCTTGTAAGTGAAAGGGGACTGAGCACCAAGTTCGTTCTCCAGCTTCCTCTGAGACTAATCTTGGTTTGAGGTTCTTGACTGCAGGGGGCCTCTCCGTGGGCACTAATTCAGGGTAGTCCAACCACAGGAGTCTTTGGCCCTTGACAGTGACCACTCCCCCCATCTTAGTTTCAGTGCTGGCCAAGACACTATCCAACCCCAATCCTATCAACATTTCTCTGCTCTCTGCCTTTTTGTTTGAAAGACCGATTCCATTCTTTGCACCAACTCCTACCACTGAAGAAGCCAGTGATGTTAAAGATCCGAGATCTTGGAAGCTCTCCACCTGTCTCATCACAGGCAAACTAGGTATTGCTAACTTGCCTTTGAACAAATGTAATAATTTTTCTTAAATCTAGAAGTACCAGACATTTGAAAATTATTTTTTAAGTTACTTAAAAATCGATCATTTAATGCAACCGGATATCATTTTGGTTTAAATTCATGCTTTTTCTTATGTAAAATTTAAAATGTAAATATTAGTAAAGCATACATACATGTTTGTATCCTAATTTTTCATAAAACATGACAACATGTTGTTTTCCAAGTTATTATGGAAAGTCATACTATATTTTAAAATTACCTCCCAGCACAGCTAGTGAAATGAGGAGAAAATTTGGTATCGAGGGAAGACTAAGGGCTTCAGAGTCAGACTTACCTTCAAATATCTACAGTCACTTAGCAGTGGATGTGATTTACTTGCCCTGTCTGTGCCCCAGATTCTAAAGTGAAGTAATATCATTTAAGTTTCATAAATGTGAGAATTAAATGAGAAATCAACTGGGCTCTTCATACTTGCTGTTTTCATTGCTGTTTCATGATTAAAAAGCAGATGTGTAATACTGAGCTCTTCTCCAGTTCTTGGGCATACTGTACCTGTTCTCTTTAAATTTGTGTTTAGAGGGTCTCATGTTTCTCCTTGAAACTTTGCTGCAGGGTTAAAGAGCAAATGCTGCCGGGCGCAGTGGCTCACGCCTGTAATCCCAGCACTTTGGGAGGCCGAGGTGGGCAGATCACAAGGTCAGGAGATAGAGACTATCCTAGCTAACATGGTGAAACCCCATCTCTACTAAAAATACAAAAAATTAGCCGGGCGTGTTGGCACGTGCCTGTAATCCCAGCTACTCGGGAGGCTGAGGCAGGAGAATCGCTTGAACCTGGGAGGCGGAGGTTGCAGTGAGCCAAAATTGTGCCACTGTACTCCAGCCTGGGTGACAGGGCGAGACTCTGTCTCAAAAATAAATAAATAAATAAACAAACAAACAAATAAATAAATAAATAAAAATAAAAATAAAGAGCAAATGCAATTCTGTTTGAGGCCTTGGCCACTGCATCTCTGGGTAGCTTATGCTATTGTTAAACAGGTAATGATAAGAGCAAAGGTCCAAGATCTTGAAACCTGAGAACCAACCGGCCTCCTAAAATGTTCCAGGACAGCATGATGTTGAGTCCAATGCCTCTGGACTTCACCCTGTGGCAACAGGGCAAAAGACACCAATTCGGTTTGCCTAAAATCAGTCCAACAGAAGATACTTATAGAATGCCTTCTACAGACCAGTCTTTGCTCTAAATAGGGAAAAAGATGAAGTCCCTGATCTCGATATACAGAGGAGACAGACAACAAATACAGTTCATGCAAGCTCAGCATTCAGTAAGTGATGAAAAGTGGAAAGGAATTGGGGTGGGTATTTTATTTTATTTTCTGAAACAGAGTCTCATTCTGTCACCCAGGCTGGAGTACAATGGCATGATCTTCGCTCACTGCAACCTCTGCCTCCCAGGTTCAAGCGATTCTCCGGCCTCAGCCTCCCGAGTAGCTGGGATTACAGGTTCCCGTCACCATGGCTGGCTAAGTTTTGTATTTTTAGTAGAGACAGGGTTTAGCCATGTTGGCCATGCTGGTCTCAAACTCCTGACCTCAGGTGATCCACCCATCTTGGCCTCCCAAAGTGTTGGGATTACAGGTGTGAGCCACCATGCCTGGCCCTGGGGTGGGCATTTTATAAAGGTGATCAGGGTATCCTTTTTCAGGAAGTATCATAGAGCAGAGCCTGAAGGAAATGAGAGCCAGCCACGTGAACATTTAACACTGAAGGGTGACCAACCCTCTTGTTTGCCCAGACTGAGGGATTTCCTAGAAAGCAGTGCTTCCAATGTTAAAATCAAGACAGTTTCAGGCAAACTGGAATGCTTGGTCACCCCAGTAAGAGTGTTCCAGGCCCGAGGTAACAGCCAGCGTGAAGGCCAGTGAGAGGGAAAGAATGTGGTGTGTTTCGGAGGTGTCCAGGAGGCCAACGTGGTAGGTAAAGCAGGAGAGAGAGGAGAGATGAGTACAGAAAGGGAGGCCAAGCTGGGCCACCCAGGGCTGCTGGTCAGGGTAAGGGCAGATGGATGAATGATCCTCACGAACCACTCCCAAGTATTCAGGTGCAGGGAGATGATGAAGGTGGGGAGTGATGAGAGGCTGCTGCAAAAGCAGGGCTCTGCCGCCACAGACAGTGAGGCCTGCGAGTTCTCCCGATGCTGCGGCAGTTGGGAAACTGCATCCTAGACCGTCCCACAGAGCTGACAGTATTAATGCTCTTCTTTACCCACCGCCGTCATTGGGAGAATGCAATTAGTGGATTTTTCTAGTAGGAGCAACAAAACAATTTTTCTCGAGCTGCATAGGTCTGAGCATTTAATGCGAATGCTGTTGGCAAACACCCCTGGTAAGTTTCTAGGCTTCCTTGGGTCCCTGACTGTAACAGTGTTTCTCTGAGGGCCACCCTCATGCCTGCACAGCCCCATGCTCACCAAGGTCGGAACTGAAAGGATGTGGCCAGCCATGGACATTTTTCTTCCAGATGAAGAAATTAGGACCAAAAGAGGAGGAAGTGACTTTGTCCAGGGACACTCTGGAAGTTAGAGGCAGATCTGGGTGGGCAAGAGGCTGAGAGATTGGCCTTGACATGGAGCCAGGGTGGCTGCACGTGAGCTGGATGGGCCAGATGGGCAGGTGCTGCCTCCTTGCAGTGGTTTCACTTGGGCTGTGTGAACAGGAACTTGGTCTTGAGGATGTGGGGAAAGCCTGTCTGAGTTTGTTCCTCTCGAGTTAAGACCACAGCATGAACACAGCAGGAATGTGCTCGAGGGACCCCTTATTGAAGGGGTGCACAACAAAACATATAGAGTGCATTCGGAGGAGAGTGAGACCAGAGAGAGAGAAGAATTGAAAACATCCTGCCTGGACTATGATTGGAGGAAATGAAACTTTCTTTAAAGGTCAGAAAAGGAGCTGGGGTCAGCAGTGCAGAATATGAGGGCTGAGTCCAAATATTTGAAGGGCTGACAAGCACAAACAATGTACTTTGCTTGATTTTTATTTTCTGTATCATTTATTTAGTCGTACTTTTGCCACAGTGCTACCTCTCATGTTTTATTCCAAATATATAGCACTGTAACTTCTTCAGATAGGATAGCTGCTTTTTTATGGGCCTGGAGCCTGAATCACCCTTTAGAAGAATGAGTTTCCATCCTAGCTGTACATTTTAGAGGGCTTTCTCATTGCTTATACCCTGTCCCAGGAATTTTGATTTAATTGGTCTAGGGTGGAGCCTGTCATAGTTTAGACTATTGAGTAGAGTATTCTTTTTTCCCCATCCTCTTGATATTGGGCTTGGCCACATAAACTTGCTTCAGCCAGTAGGATGTTACTGGACATGACAGGAGCAGAAGCTTTAAATGTGCTGTTTGTCTTGCCTCTTGCAGTCCAGTGATCTACTACGAGAAGAACATATCCTTGTCGGCCACTGGTCCAAGGAGAGTGAAACATATGTGAAGCTGACTTGCATCCAACCTACAATCTGGAGTAGTCACCAAGGTGAGTCAGGCTAGAACAGTTGTGTTCTAGCCATCAACAGACCTATGAGTGAGAAATAGATGTTTATTGTTTTAAGCCACAGAGTTTTGAGATATTTGTTACACAGTATTGTTATAGCAATGTCTAACTGATACAAGGCCTCAGCCCTAAGAGATTCTAATTCAGTTGGTTTGGGTTAAGGTCTAGTACTATAGCCTGAATGTTTGTGTCTCCCCAAAATTCATATGTTGAAACCTAATCACTAATGTGATGTTGTCAGGAGGTGGGACAACTGGGAATCAATTAGGTCATGAGGGTGCAGCCCTCATGAATGGGGTTAATGTCCTTATAAAAGATGCCTCAAAGAGCTACCTTCTACCAGGTGAAGAGACAGTGAGAAGGTGGCATCAATGAACCAGGAAGTGGGCCCTCAGCAGACACTGAGCCAGCTGGTGCCTTGATCTTGGACTTCCCAGCCTCCAGAACTGTGAGAATTAAATATCTTTTGTTTGTAAGCTCCCCAGCCAATAGCACTTTGTTATAGCAGTGCAAATGGACTAAGACACTCATGCATCAGTATTTCTTAAAAATGCTCTCCAAATGATTCTAATGTATAGCCAGGGTTGATAACTGCCAATCTGAAAATTGCTTTTCCATCCAGGAGTCAAGCCAAGGTTTACAAATGATGAGAGATCACTTAGAACCAGTATTTCTAAAAACTTGGCTTTGGAACCACCCATGTAAGAATGCCTGGGCTTGTAGGGCATCTTACTTGTTAAAAATACAGATTCGTGGGGCCCACCCCACACCTACTGAATCAGATTCTCTGGAGTGGGCCAAGCAACATGCATTCTAACACACTCACTTTCCAAGTTCACTAAAGTTTGAGAAAGGCTGATGTAGAGATTATGTCACATTCCCCACCAGCCTTCAATGACAGAGTTGATGATAGTTGAAATGTTCCTATTAAAATTTCAAGCCACTTCTGCTTGCTTCTATGAATACCTGACTTGAGTCTTTTAGTCTTTATAGTGAAGATCTGGGGGAGGAGAAACACATCCTGATCTGATTTTGATGTAATGAAGGAGGTTGGACTAAATTATTTCCTTCCGCCCTAACACTGAATGATTTTACATTATTGTATTTGTTGTGATAATCAGTGTAGTTCTGGTATGGTGTGATTGAACTCTTAGCTCCTGCTGGAAGAAGGGTGTGAAATATCCTCAAGCAGGAAGTCACAGACCCCTGTGGTTCCTGCCTCAGGCACTATGCCATGCTGCCCCAACCCCTCTGGTCTTGAGACTGAGCTGTGGGCCCACCAGGGCATGGGCCTTGCAGTGGGAACTCTGGACTTTTGTGGCTCTTGTCTGATTTGTTTTTCTTTTACACCATGCTCCATTTCTGCCCCATTTTGGACTCTTGGCTTTAAGTCTGGACTTTAATCCCATTGCTCATCCTTTGAACTTGAGCTTGACACTTGCTCTCCCCTTAATGTGAATCTCAGTTTTTTCTTATGGACTCTGATTTGATGTCACACTTCTAGCCCAGTGGTTTCAGTGTCACCTAGGGAACTTGAAACAAGCCTGATTCCGGCTTCCTCCCAGATAATTCATCAGAGTCTCTAGGGTGGGACAGAGGTGTCTGAATTTGCAAATGCTACCCAAGGGATTCCAAAGGGCAGCCAGAGTTGAAAACCATTCCTTAGAAGAAACCAGACTTCCCTGCAGCCCTCATCATCCTCATCCCCAAAGCCTGGGTTAGACTTCTATCGCCAGGGTGCTGCTTCCCTCAAAAGGATTTCGACATAGTAACCACATTTCCATGCAATATAAGAGCTCTTTTAATGTCAATCCCAAACTGGTAGTTATTTCCCCACCCTCAAGGAGTGGAGTTTGAAATATGCCACCGATCATCAAGATGCAGGCTGAGAACAGAGGCAGCTGGCCAAAGAAAACAGAACGCTCACATGAGAGAGACACAGACAGAAAGCTGCAGGGCCATGCAAAGTAGGGAGGAGAAGCCATTCCCCATAATGAGTCTCCGGCGGCGGGCACTTTGCAGAGCAATACAGTTGATAAATACTCTGTACTTAAAGTGAACTTTGAACAAATGCATAAGCAGAGATTGAGAGTTTTCTGCAAATAGAAGAAAGCAAGGGCTTGGTACAAAGAAGCTGTGTGTCCCAGCATAGACTGAAATGGAACAACAGTGTGGTTGGGGACAATGGGAGTAAGCTAGCAGAAGCTCGGCAGGAAAATAAATTTCCAAATCCTGATGGATCAGACGGCAGGCAAGCTTCCAGGTATAGTAACGAAGGCGGGATCACACTCGTTTTGTAATGATGAGAAATTGGAAATTCGTATGAGAATCTCCCTGTGTCTTCTTTATAGTTTGCTGAATGCAACACAGCCTAAACTGACTGTATAATAAGTAGTTTATCATTTTCATTCCAGAGGGTGAACTCATCATTTTCAATTAATTATTTTGTTGTCTCCTTGAAGGCCAGAGCTAAGGAATTCCATCAGTTTCTTTAATAGAAACGTATCTGTACTGAGAGGTTGGGTGTTCAGTTTGGAGCAGAGCAGGTGAGTAACTCCCCTTTGGGAACGGGACTTCTTCATTCTAATATCTCTCTAGGATTGCAACAAACAATGTTAGCCCCATCAGCCCCTAAAGTAGATGAACATTGACTGTGAGCAAGGAAGAATGGAAAAGCCCCGGGAATGATGTGGCTGGGACATTCTTCAACAAGACAGGAAGTCAGAAAGATCCGAAAAGAGCACCAGTTGTCAAACTGGAAGGCTGGGGGAGTCAAGCAGAACATTTCAAAGCAGCCATGCCTGCTTGTCATTAAGATGAGAAACCAGTTACACCCTTTCCTCCTGCAGCACCAAGTGATCTTAACAAGGCAGCCCAAACTCACTGGCCCATCAGTTCCAGTGACAACGTTTGGGTGAGAATGGGATTCGACTCTCTTCATCTCCCAGGACCAGATATTGATTTAGGTTTCTGACGGGAATAGAATTTTATTTTCTCAGTGATTTAAACAGACATTCTTTAGAAAGAAATGTCGGGGCTGAAAGTGCAGTCCTGTGAATGGACTTACTCTTTCAGCCTTCCCTTCTTTCCTGGTTGGCTAGGGAAGCACCTCTCAGCCCCTCCATCTTCGGGGATTCTCTTTGAAAGAGCTTGTGGAAACTCAGCAGAGGAGGGGGTTAAACTACATTGCCACTGAAAACAAATGAAAAGTGAATGATTACTTGAGAGCTGAGCTGAAACTGAGCCCTGCCCTGGCAATACACTCCTGATGACAATGTGTAGTTACATGAAAGGCCTCCTTGGATTTCCACAGAAAAGGGCAGATTAAAAGCAAACAAAGGGATAAAAAGCATAAACCTTAAATAGCTGGAGAAAAGCCAGGTAGTAGGAACAGCCCTTGCCAGGTTATGTCTCTTGGGGCCTCTGGGCCAAATCCCATTTCACACCAGATTTAATGGAGAATTCTTCTGCAAGTCAAAATCTGTCCTCTGCCTTTGAACATCTTCCTTTAAAATGATGTGAATGAGCTTGACTTCCTCTTCAGGACCACCAGGCCCCACCAATGCCCCTGTAAAGCTGGTGTTCATCCGGGGCCTGCCACCTGAATTCTCTCATTTGGAGATACAGTTTCATCACTGATTTTTTAAAAATTCCTTATCTGAGAAGAAAGGAATATTGAGACATTTAATTGGCATATAACGAGATAACTATAACAAGTTAATTAGTTCTCAATTAAGTTGCATTTACCATACTTCCTGAATGTGTTCTCAGCAATTAGGGGCGTCTAATGAACCTGCAGGAGTTGCTTGGCTTCCCACAGTAAGCAGGAAGACGAGACCATCTCTCCTTGAGTCTGAGGCAGCGTGGCATTGTTTTCTTGAAAGTCAGCATCGGAGTATACATCCAACCTGTCTCAGAAGCAATTGAATGTAACTGCTGGTCAATTCAGTGAAACAATAAGCTGAATGAGGTCTGTGACACAGGAACAAAGTCATGGGATTAATGTAATGGAAAGAGCACTGACTTTGGAATCCAGTGGATGTGGGTTCAAGCCCTAGGGCTACTGCTTTCTAGTTACGTGACTGTCTTAGTCCATTTGTGTTGCAATAAAGGAAAACCTGAGGTTGGGTAATTTATAATAAAAAGAGGTTTATTTGGCTGATGGTTCTGCAGGGCTATTCAAAAAGCATGGCATTGGCATCTGCATCTGGTGAGGCCTCAGGAAGCTTCCACTCATGGTGGCAGGTGAAGAGAAGCTGGTATGTGCAGAGATCACGTGGTGAGAGAGGAAGCAAGAGACAAGGGAGGGAGGTGCCAGGCTCTTTTTAATAACCAGCTCTCTTGGGAACTAATGGAGTGAGAACTCACCCTCCACTCACAAAAAGAGATTTACCCTATTCATAAGGAATTTATCTCCATGACCCAAATATCACCCGCTAGGCCCCATCTTCAACATTGGGAATCAAATTTCAACATGAGATTTGGAGGGGGTCAAACTAGCCGAACTATAGTGGTGACTTTGGGCAAGTATCTTAGAATCCCGAAACCTCAGATTCCCCATTTTTATGCGAGGCATTACAATGCAGGCCTCACTATAAAGTTGCTGTGTAGATCGATGAGAGAATACAAGGTAAAGTCCTACAGTTTCCATGTATA